CCGCAAGAGCAAACAGTTCCTGAACCAGTCAGTCCTCCCCAACTGGGTCAAAAAGAGAACATGTTGGAACAAGAAAAAACAAAAGTTGAGGAGCCTGCTGCAGTAGCTGTTGCAAAAGAATCTGCGGCTGGTGAACCTATGGTTGAAGTGCAAGAGGTAAAACCAGAAGAATCTCAGAAGGTTCAAGTAACAGAAGTTTTACCAGAAATGCCAGTTGAGGAAAAATCAGTTGAAGTTGTTAAGGAAACTGAAGCAGCAGCAGCAGGAAGTGTTGAATCTGAGAAGAAAGAACCTGAGCCTGAAGAAGACGTGGTTCCTGAATCTGGTTCACTTTCCTTCGCCCTGCTGGAGCACGAGCAGACCAAAGACACCTTGCGCACATCACGTACCCTTGTTGTCCTCAGAGGTCTCCCAGGAAGCGGGAAAAGTTTCCTGGCCCGTGCCATAGCCGAGGCCTACAAGGACCACTGTTCCGTTGTCTGTGCTGACGACCACGGTGTGAAGCCAGAGAACCTGGAGGCATCTGCAGACGGACACAAGGCTCTGGATAAAGCCGTGGTGACCTGCTGCAGTGCAGGAACAACCTCCCCAGTGATGATAGTGGTGGACGACACCAACCAAAGCCAGGATCGACTGGCCCGTCTGGGAGAGATCGCTAAGGAACACCATCTGGTTGCCATTTTCTTGGAGCCACGGACAGCGTGGAGCTTCGATGTCGCTCAGCTGTCCAAGAAGAACAGCAGGGGACTGGAGGAGGCCGCTCTAGAAGCCATGAAGGGTCCACTGGGGGAAATTTCCATTCCTCTCTACTTTGGCTTCTTTCTTCTGTCCTCCGTCCAGGACAAGATAAAGTGCACAGCCAACGATTTCCTAAAAACACTGGACACCTTGGAGGCCTTCAAGAAGCACATGATTGACTGTGAGTTTTCTAGACTTGTTTTGAGTTAATCCGTTGGACATTGTAATGAAACACATTGCCACCACCCATCTTTGGCTTAGTGAAGGTGTAACTGAATCTCTGTTGTATTTTCAGTCACAGGTAAAGAAGAGAGCGAAGTGGATCTTGAGCAGTACTTCCAGGCCAAAGAATTCCTTCATTGCACTACAAAATTCTGCAACTACGGGAAAGCCGAAGGTGCCAAAGAGTATGCAGCGATGCCCGTAAGAAACCGGACCTTTCTCCTGCCAGTACAATTTGTCAGTGAGATAAATTGTTTGATTGATAAATTGTCTCTCCTCTCCCCTCCAGGCTGTCAAAAAAATGTACAGTTTCATATTCGAGCTGTCACTGACGGCTCTCTTTGTCACGCCTCGCACCGTGGGTGCCCAAGTGTCCCTTACAGAGGAGCAGCTCCTGCTGTGGCCGGCCGATGCCGAGTCTTCGGTTCCAGCGGGGGCCTCCTTGCCTCTTGGAAGCCGTGCCCACGTCACCCTGGGCTGTGCAGAGGGTGTCGAGCCGGTTCAGACGGGCTTGGATCTGCTGGAAATCCTAGCCTTAAAGCAACAGGACCCGAAGCCGGACGTGGTTGAGGAGATGGAGCTTGGCTCCTTGACCTATTACAATGAAGGGAGGTGGATGCTCAGCCTCAGGGAGCCCATTGGTGCACGGGCCTGCTTCTCCAGCTATTACAAGCGCAAGGAGTCGGAGCTGACCAAAAAGGAACCCGAGAAGAAAAAGAAGTTCAAGTGCGCCATATTGTAAAGTGGTGAACATGAGAATGGTTGTGTGGGATGATGGATTAATTAATAGGCTTCTTCTGTGCAAGGTGTGTGTTTGTGCAGTGTTTAGAGGTGAGGCAATAGCCACCCTAAGACCACAAGCTGTGTGCCTTTATTGTTGTTTTGCACCACAACTCCAAGATGCCTTAGTCCAGGTAGGCTTGTCGTCAGTGTTGACTATTTTTCATTTTCACAAAGCAGTGCCGGTGTTGTTAGCAGTAGTGTGTAGGTCAATAATTATCCACAACTTCGATTTCCGCCACATACATGTCAGTGTTTGTCAGTATTTACGTCTGGAAAAATGTAAACCAGGTACTTCACGTGCATGCTTTCAAGGTTAACCGTAGCATCATAACACTGCGTGTGTTGTGTTTTCTTAGGCTTAGACAAAAAGTTACAAAAATAAGCTCCTATTTCAATGCACTTGAATATGTGCGCAGCCGAGGAAAGAAGGAATTACTACGTTAGAATAGGGAGGCAAAGTGTTCTACAGTTAATGTTCCGCATTGGGCTCTTTTCTCTATTTACTTTTTTTTTTTTTGCACTCTGTAGGTTGCAAGGGTGTGAATTATGTCAGCATCTGTATCAGCAGCTTGCACTTGACTCTTATCGAATGCTGTGAAAGCCAGTCCACATTTTGCAATTCTTTTCTATCGGGCAAGACTGCACCATTGATCCCTTTTATCCAGTGTGAACAGCACTTCATGTACTCCCTCTTATGCTGTCGTTTGTGACCACTACCTTCAAAGGGTGAGTCCTTCTTTTGTCTAGCACCAACGAATCACTATTTTTGCACATGTTTTGTAAAACTTAATAAAAAAAATAACATGCTTTGCTCCATTTCCTGTGTTTGCAGTATTTTTTTTTTCTCGTCGCATGCAATTGTAGTAATAATTATCAAACAGCAGAGGGCACTCGTGTCTCAATGGCTGGCTGCAAGGCGTTTGAAGAAGTGTGGCGTCACAGTATTTGTTTTCCACGTACATCCAGGTAATGTTGACTCTGACTGATACAGTGTTGTCAAACTTTGTACCACAGACTGAGTTACACAAGTTTGCCAAAGCTTCTGAAATTTGCTCCTGTACATGAACTAGCTTGTGATAAAAGTACACAAGTTAATGGAAAAATAAGTCATTAGTAACGTGACTATTTCACCATATTAAATGCAAAAACTCGTGTCATGACCTATTTAGGTGGGAAAGGGATGATGACAACACAAACCGGACTAATTCACCAAGAAGAAAAAGTGAGAATAGTGGATTGAGGTTGGAAGGAAATGATCATTTTAGGATTATTTACTTTGTATTTCACTAAATTCTGACAATTAACATAACTTTTTTTTTCTTGCTTCAGAACAACGACCGTTCACATAAGTATGATCTGCATCGTTCCAGCTAATGGTAGGCCAAGGACAGATCATAATCATGGACCTCACATGTTATGTCAGAGTTGGTGAGCCGGTTTAGTGCACGAACTAGATAATAAACAATATCCACCAATCAACACCAGTATAGGACAATGGCCCTGTTTCCACAGACGGTGGCGTGTGTGTGACGGAGCTACAAAGTCCTGCTCAGTACCTATGATACCTTCACATACACACCGGAATTTTAAAAACTCCTTTTGTCTTGAGACGTGACACGTCGTTGTTTTTCTGTATTACACCATAAAAGTATCGAAACTGATATATTAATAATTCATCAATGAGTTCAGACACTAATTCATATGGAGACAATACGAACACTATTAAGCTAACATACTGTAGGACGTAGCTGGTTCCATGATTTCTTTATTCACTGTCTGTGGCTCAGTCTTTTTATCAATTCGTTAAACAATTCCACAATGCCAACAGTAACTTTAACAATAACGATTCCAAATATATCCACCACTTTTAACATAATTGAAAAAGGTAGATTGTATAATGGAATTAATGTAAATTATACACTTTATGTACAATTTAACAGGGCCAAAAAGTCATGAATAAAACTTTTATTTATTTATTATTATTATTATTATTAGTAGTAGTAGTAGTATATAATGGTCCAAATCTACCAGGAACTAATTGTGCAATAAATGTCAAATTTAAGTTGAATCTAAAGGTTTATCACTCTCTGAAGCTTCAAACAGAGTCTGAAGAAACATACGCACCCTCATTGTTCAATGTACATATACAAACAAATATTTTTATTTCCTTTTCTGTTAAAGCACGGAGTTTCTTCTCTCTGACTTTCGGCTTTTTACACAGCTATTGTCGTTATTATTTGTTATACATTTGTTGAATTCGGTTCACCCAATAGCCAAACCTCGTATTTATTCCTAGCGCTTTGCCAGTAACCCTGCTTTTTCCTACAGTCCCTAAAGACTACAAGAACTCACCAATCGAACCGTACAAAACTGTCCAATCAGAGGACAGTAAGACATCAGCCAACCGATGGGCAGATGAGACAAAAGTCCCAGGAAGGTGTTTCCTCCCGCACCACTGCTCTACACGCAGTCGGCAAGAGAGCACTCAGTAATCCATCCAGCCATCCATCCATCCATCCATCCATTCACTGAACCAAACAACGAACCGATCATCGAACCGACCAAGAGCACAGACCGTAACCCGAACAACACCAGAGAGGTAATTTAATTTCTCTTTTATCTAAGGTGATGTTTACATTTGCGTATTAGTGTACTCTCAGTCATCCAAAAATCAGGAGATTAAAATAAACTGGTTGAGCTGCTCGGTCATCCACACTCTGTTCAGTCTGTACCGCTGCAACATTGTGGTTCTTGCAGTAGAGTTTAAACCATTTAAAAGTGTTTGTTATTTATTGGATAATTTGTAATTAGAAGCCGGGACGGAGCTAAAATAGTAAACCCGATTAAAGATTGTGCAACACCAAGCCCCCCACCCCCTAGGTTTATTCTACCGTGGTGGCTTTGAAGTGATCCATCTCCTATGACTATTAACTATGTCTATAAATGTAGCGTTATACTGGATGGGTTGCATTGTTTTGGTCAAATGTTGCTCTTACCACTAGGGTGAGCACAGTGCACTGACCCCTTTCCTGCACTTGGATGTTGTGCTGGTTGTTTATCCATAGACCACTTAGAATTGAACAAGTCCTGAAGACAAAAAAACTGACTCTACATCCATACAGTACAGTTACATGTTTTTGGACGAGTAGGCAGAATATAATTGCAATTTCTTAGAAACAAAGTTATAGATTCAAGTATGTTTTCTCATATGTCTGTTATATATCGATGACCTAACCAGACATTCATCCTTGTAAACCAGAATTCAGTTACTCTTATCCAGAGCCAAGTAACACGATTAAATAGTGGAAGAGTAAAAATGGCGGAATGTCCCATGACGCAGCCATATATGTGACAGGTGTATGAAATGAATATACTGTCCAAATAAAACACATAACAGGTTCATTTTCATGACTTTTAACTAATCATAATTATGACGGCTAATGAAACAGCCTTAGCAGCAATTGTATCAATTAAAACCAACCTGATTAGATCGGTCAAGAGTCATTTTGTCAAGGGCATGATGACTTTAATAAGGGCTTGACATCAATGTATATATGTGTATATCTATGTATATACACATATATATCTATATATGTATATATATACAGTACATATATGTACATGTATGTATGTATGTATATATGCATGTATATATGTATGTATATGCATGTATATATGTGTGTATATATACATGTATGTATATATATATACTGTATATTATAGATATGTATGTACATATATATGTATGTACATATATTATAGATATGTATGTACATATATATGTACGTACCTATATATGTATCTACATATATGTTTATATATATATATCACCAGCTGTAGCAAAGCAGTGATATCTAATACATCTGACAGCTCCAGTTAAAAAGAGAAAGCAGGTGATCTATAAACCCAGGATGGGACTTGGATAAACCAGCTGTGCCTGGTCTGGGACCGGCACTGTGATGACTCAGGGACTACAGTGATCAATAGTGAGAGGGGTCTGTGACAGTGCCATAAATTAATTCTGGGAATGACGAGCCTGGGCTCCACTGTGGTGATGGAGGTCCAGTTTGCAGCGACATCAGGGCTTTTAGCTTAATGAAACATGGAGGAGGAAGAGCAGGTGCTTCATCCCTGCAAGGTTACCCAAGAAACACAGCGGTTGTCACGATTGAAGAGGGGGTAATTAGGGAAGATCTATTGTAGTCTGGTCTAAAACGGTCAAGATCCTTTTTTATTATTGCCCATTTGATCTGAGGTACTGACTGGTATTTAAAGACTTATATTTTCCATGTATCACAGCTCTGTCATCAGGTCTTGCTAAATTTCCTGCTCGTCATAAATGCACAAATTGGAATTTTCCCTCATTAGTCCTCTGAGAACACTACATCTTTTTTTCTATTGAAATTTGAATTAAAATTCAAATAAGTTACCTTCTCATATTTGTGTAACTGTGAGTTTTTTGTGTGTTCACAATGACATCAAAAGTTAATGTGCCACATAATTGACCTGTGCTCCTTCTGCTACACAAGCTCTCTTTTTGCAATTACAGTATAAGATAAGGAAGTCGGAACAATTTCTGCTTTGGTCATTCAAACTAAGGTGGATTTTGTTACATTGACATTGTAGGTTAGGTTTGAAAAACTTCACAACTTTCACAAAATGTTCCCATCTTGGTTTCCTAATAGATTCAAAAGGGTTGTAATCGAAAGAAAGAAAAAGGTTTTCCGCCAGTTTGTTTGTAGATCAGATTAGCTGAGACACAGCTAAAAGGAAAGCCAAATGTTGTTTTTGTTTTCATTTGAAACCACAAACTAATGTAATTAAAGAAGTCAAATAAAACAGTCCATATCCTTCCACTCATTTATATCTCTGTTTTCTGTACAGACTGAGTAGTCATGTCAGCTAAAGCTATCTCCGAGCAGACAGGAAAGGAGTTCCTGTACAAGTACATCTGCACGTCAGCCGTTGTTCAGAACCGATTCCGCTACGCCAATGTGACGGCTGAGACCAACTTTGATCGACTGGTGCAGGAACATCCGTGGCTTCTCACAGAGGTAAGACCACCATCGCCTGAATGAGAGGAGTGACGTTCTGATTTAGTTGGTTGGTGTTAATGAGGACAGATAATAAAACACTGCTAGAAGTTTCCTCCTGCTCCCGATGTAAACGGACTGTTTTCATAGTTTTTTTTAATCACTCTGTGACTCATCTTAAAGGAGAAAATGTTGCTCATGATCTCTCTCTTCCTGAGATTTTTTTTTATCTAGACAGAACAAGGAGTCAGAGGATGTGCAGCGTAGATACAGGCAGATATGGGCTCTTCAAGAATTGATTAGGAAATTGCATTAACTTTCACCTCACCCCCCGATCCACTGCTCACTGGGCAGCTTCCAGATACTAATGGCTTCACTGTCGTACGTCATTCCTTTTATCTGACTTGCAAATAAGAGGATGTGGGCTCTGTTCGTAGGAGTGTGATGTAATTTGCCGTCTATGTCAGAAGGGAATGAGATGCGTTAGTGACTCCTCCTGAAATATTGTAAAGTTAAGTTGTGGTTATAAAAATATTATAATATAATAAATATGATAATATATAAATATATAATATAACACGATTAATAGTGTTTTATAATAAATATTTTATAATAAATATCATAAGAGACATTTGACAGATGGCTAGTTGATGCCCCACAGCTTTCAAAGCAAAGTATTTTTATATTGTTTTCAAATGTTTTATATGTACTGTATAAGTTTTTCTGGTCTGGCATTAGGTTATCTCATGACAGAATTGTAGCTAAGTTCCGTTAGCTTTTTCGTCAAGCTACATTTAGCAGCTTAGATATTTTCTTTGGCTGTGTTTAAACTGCTGTTTTTATTTTTTTGGCTAAATTAATTACAAAATATGTTGACATAAAAACTAAATATAGTTTACTGAAGTGTTTAATGTGTACCTCATTACATTTTCTTTTTCTTTTTTCATTTTTCTACCAGAGGCTGGTGGTGAAGCCAGACCAGCTGATTAAGAGAAGAGGAAAGCTGGGCCTGGTGGGCGTGAACCTGGACCTTCATGGCGTCAGAGAGTGGCTAAAACCCCGCCTCATGAGGGAGACAAACGTACGTCATTATTCTTCATCCCTTGTTTTCTTCTTCTAAGGCAAGTAACCTCACTGACCGTTCCATGGAGGGCGTGCACGTCTTCGATCTGCTGCTCTTTCCTTCACCTTTCTCTCTGTTATCTGCTGCCGGTTTCTCTTATTTTGTTTTTTTTTCTTGACCATCTGATTGCAAACAGTTTTATTTCTGGTTGTAAATCAGTCCCATCAGCCTAAGCGTGTGCCCCTGTCAGTCCATCCATTTAGGAAACATAACCACAGCACAAAGAGATGCATCACTGCAGCAGACAGACTGCACGCTGCCTCATAAAACAAACTGTGAATTCTCCGGAGATACCGAGGACCATTCAGTACCAGGAAGACGTTGCGTTTTTGTGTATGTGTGTGTGTGTGTGATGAGACTGTCAGCAGCTCCTGGTGCCAGCACATAAAAATGAATGAGGCTTCATATTTGTTCTAGATGCTGTCTCAGCTCATTGACTTCTCTAGTCTTCTAGAGACTAAATTGTCGAGAAGATTTTTTTCCAGAATATAAACAGTCGCATAACCGCACTTTTATTTACCGTCATCTTCTTCGGTTGGTTTAGGTCAATTATTTTTGGTAAATTTTTCACTACTTCAATGCATGGATCCATTGAAACAGAACTACTGAGTTACCTCTGTCCAAATGTATGAAATGTTACTTTGAGCTACGTTAGTGTTTGCACTAGCCTGAAGCATCGTTAGACCAAAGTGAAGCTAATTAAAGCACAATAACACAACAACACCCAAATCAGTGGCTAAATTAACAGTGCTAACGACAATAATAAGGCAACAGGGTGGTGCATTATATATGGATATTCGTCTGGGTTGGTGTTACCTGATCTGTATTGCATTTCATATGTCATGTTTTATTTTTCCTGTGGGGAGTAAACAGCTTTTTCCTGTCAGTCTTCCTCTCAGTGAAGCGGCAACAACAGCGTTTGTTTACCTCATTAAAGCAGAGTAACTGTGGCCTTTTCACTTTGTTTTGTTTCATGGCATATCATTAATCTCCCTGGCATTTGGACTCCTCAGAATGGCAGCCGTCCTCCTGTACCTTTTTTAATATATTTCCCCTTCTTTCCGCCTGGCTGCTGTCACCCACTCCCTGGTTACTTCTTAATGCAGTCTCTGTAAAAGCCACTATCAGTCACAGTTTTAAATGCGACACAGAAATGAATCAAAGCCATGAATATTTGCATGTTGAATGTTAATAAAAAAATCAATACAGTGTTGTGGAATGTTGATACAGTATTATGAATTGAGATATTTCAGCGCATTCATATTTTCTTGTTATATATCCTTTAAATACAATTCTGTTTTTTAAATTTAATTTCATGTTTACTCTTCTAAATAGTAGTCATTTTAATATTAATAATAATATTATTTTTATTATAATCCTCAGGTGGGAAAAGCCAAAGGAGTCCTTAAGAACTTCCTGATCGAGCCCTTCGTCCCCCACAAACAGGTACGTCCGTCACTCCACCTGTTCCGTTATTTATTTATTATTTATTCCTAGTGCAGATGTGACATTCCACTGCGATGCATAAATAAACCAGACACTGCGATACATCAAGACACTGGTAAAATATTGTCCTTGGCGTGGTCCATTTTCCAGGAGGAGGAGTTTTATGTCTGCATCTACGCCACCAGAGAAGGAGACTACGTGCTGTTTCACCACGAGGGAGGGGTGGACGTAGGAGACGTGGATGCCAAGGCACAGAAGCTGCTGATTAGGGTGGATGAAAAAATCAGCGAAGATGCAGTAAAGAAAGAGCTGCTGACCCACACTCCAAATGAGAAGAGAGAGTAAGTGGGTGCAGAACACTGTCGGGGGTTACAGTATGTGCAGAACTGTGTGTCTATGAAGAGTTGTGGAGTTACGTGAAGGTTTAGAACATAGCATGGCTTGCTATGATGTAAAATCTAAGACTAAGATTGTCTTAAGATTGTAAAAGAAAAAAAAAAGATTTTGCTTTGACCCCACTTCGGGGCCGTCCCCTACTTTGGGAACCAATGGCCTTACAGAAACAAGTTCACCAGTTTCAGGATTATTTAGCTGTTTGTCTAGGTATGTGGCTTATGTGATAGACCTGCTGGTTTGGCAGCATAATTCTTCACTGTCTCACTTTGTAAAAAACAGGTTATTCATTGAAGGACTGTTATGACTGGATAGAAAAAACGGTTGACATGTCGTTGAGCTGTTGAGGCGATGCTTTAAGGAAGAAGGAAAAATATGATTTACTTCCTCCTTTGCGTGTCAGAAACTATCCAACTGGGATTTATAGGCAGAGTGAGAACAGGACGTACTCAGCCAAGAGCGTTTCTCCAACACGTCAGCCCATTGTCAGAAGTTAAACTGGACCCCCTCACCTCCCACCCCCCAGGGACAAAGCAAAGGTCCAGGCTGAGAGTGACTCAGCAGTCATGTCTGGTTCCAATTTGATAGAAAAAAAACAAAAGAGTACAACATGACTTAAAGGGGGGAGAGTTGGGGTGAGGAGGTGAGCTGCAGTTGTCAGAGTGACTCCCCAGAAAGCTTCTCCAATGTCAGCCAGGCCGACAGGGCCCTGCCAGGACGTGGCGTCGTGAGAACGCAGCCGTAGAGATGGATCCTCCTCCTCCTTGTCTTACTGGGGAGAAAGAAAATGCTTCCCCGCTTTTTCTACCAATCATAACTTGATTCTTTTGTCAAACTAAGTCACGATCTTATAACATATGTATGTATATATGTATGTATGTATATATGTGTGTATATGCATATATGTATATATGTGTATATATGTATATATATATATATCCACATATATAAACATATATACATATATATATGTGTGTGTATATATATATATATATATGCATATGCCAATTATCAAAAATGCATGTTATGATAATGGTTTTTATGAATGAACATAATGTGACTAGTCTTTACTCTGATCTTCCTGTATGACAGATAAGAACCCCTCAGTAATGATGACCAAATGTCCATTTCCCAAGTTTGGCTGTTCCACTGATGATTCTTTAGCCTCTAACACAGCTGTGTGTTTAAACCTACGGTCCAAGTGTTTAACTGACTCTCACTGGATTCATCTCTTTACAGGATCCTGGCCAGTTTCATCGTAGGATTGTTCAACCTCTATGAAGATCTCTTCTTCACATACCTGGAGATCAACCCACTGGGTAGGTTGGCCTTCGTATTTTTACTAAACGTAGACATAGAGAAACAGATGATTTTGTGGTTTATGAAAACCCCCGGTCCGAGGACCAGTGACTGTCCTCAGGTCATTTGGTACACGGACACAGTGGAAAAAGTGCTATTGATTCTGCTCTCATTGACTTCCCTGATATGGATGTGTGTGGGTCAGCTGGTGTACATGAAGATGGACACAAGGAAATGGTTAGCTCTTATGTGAAAGTGATTCTCAAGAACTCAGAAACTCTGCCCAGGAAACTACCACAAATTGCATTAAAGACTCACAATTGAGATCATTCCGAAGAACAGCTTGTTGTTGTTATGTCATGAGTCGTCTATTTCTACAGCTCTGCTCCACTTATTAAGGCATTTTCTTTTAAAAACAAAGAGATGAAGTCACAGCAGGGATTCAAACGGTCGTCAGTGGAGGAAAAAGGAAAGTTAGCAGACAAAATAAGTTCAGCACTGCAACACATTTTCCTGAAACTAGCAGGAAGTGAATTTTTCCTGTGATCAACACCAAAGTAGGAGCTGGCTGAATAATTGATGCACTTGCTGTTTGATGAGAGCTACGTCTGTTTATTAAGAAATAACCAGGGATTACCACACGCCCCATGGCAGCTGTGCTGAGAATGGTCGGGCACTGTCGGCTTTGATGTTCCACATCTTCCTGCGGAGACAGGAGGAAGGTTGTGGGCCACCCAGAATCCTCTGTAGTTTTCCCCTGACCTATTCAAAGTTCAGACACTGTGTGAATGTAACATCACCTCCGGAGATTAAAAACCTCTATGATTAAAAAAAACAACAAAAAAACGTTTCTCTTCTTCTTCCTCTGTATTTTTAGTGGTGACAAAAGACGGAGTTTACGTGCTGGACATGGCAGCCAAGATCGATGCCACGGCTGACTACATCTGCAAGGCCAAGTGGGGGGATGTTGAGTTCCCACCGCCCTTTGGGAGAGAAGCCTATCCTGAGGTGAGAAGCTGTTTTTGTGGCAATAAATCTCAGTTTAGTAGCTGTAATAAAAAAAAGTGTCTGTCAAAGAAATCAACTGACACTTGTCTAGGCTGATGATGCTTGGCATTGGTGCAATAGTGTATAACGCACATAAATGAAGTGGTCCTTGTGAGGGTCCTGCTCTGATTGAGGCTGCAATCACCCACAGTGCATTGTGTAAGCCCTCCCTCCCTCTGTCCCTGACCTTTCCACTGACCTTTTATTTTGACTCCTGCAGGAGGCGTACATTGCTGACCTGGACGCCAAAAGTGGTGCCAGCCTTAAACTGACCCTCCTCAACCCCCGAGGCAGGATTTGGACTATGGTGGCAGGGGGAGGTGCCTCGGTGGTCTACAGGTACTACATCACCACAAGAGAAGGATTTGCTGATAAAAAAAAACAATGTTGGACACCGAAGATTCTTTTTGATTGACACAGACATCCATTGGAAAAACGCTTACAATTTTCTGTAAAACTAAAGGTTCAAGTGCATCCGAAAATGTGTTTGAACTTTTACTCAAATTCTGAATACGTACAAAAATGAGACGCTATAACGGACAGACAGCAGTTTTAAAATGATTCCGTTTGATGTTCTTCTTCTGTGTCGGTGAAGTTGTCCCTTGACATGAGGCCCATTGTGGTGATTACACCAGCATAATTGGGTTTAGTCTTAGTGTCTGAGCTGCAGCTTTGCCGTAGTGAGATGGATTGTGCTGCAGCTCAGCCTCCGCTCATTCAGCTGCAGACTAAATTGGATTCTAAGCCTTCTGTGGGAGAGTGGGAAGGATTGGCTCGGTCGTCTGTCCCGTCTGCTCTGTCGGGCGTGGAGCGAGACACACAGACGCATTAGTCATGACTAATTATTCCCTCTGTGGAAGTGTGTGCTGTGCAGTGAAAAAAAATATGATTACATAATGTCGAGCTCGAGATACTGTTCCAAGACTGGAGATATTGCGAAGCCGATTTTGCCATCAATTTTCCTTCTTTGTTGCAGTGACACGATCTGCGACCTAGGTGGTGTAGATGAGCTGGCTAATTATGGAGAGTATTCTGGGGCTCCCAGTGAACAGCAGACCTACGACTACGCCAAAACCATCCTGTCGTTGATGACGAGAGAGAAGCATCGGGATGGTAGACAAACTTCCTCTGTTCATCGTTTGCCATTTTAAATAAGCATTTAATATTAACATAGAATAATAATATTTTCCAGGAAAGGTTTTGATCATAGGGGGCAGCATTGCAAACTTCACCAATGTGGCAGCCACCTTTAAGGTACTGTAAACAGTTATTTCAGTTGTTAGTCGTGAACTCTGCAGAACAATAATTAAAGTGGGAGTCTTTGTCTTCCTAAGGGCATCGTCAGAGCAATCAAAGACTACCAGGAGCCGCTGAAGGAGCATGAGGTCACCATTTTCGTCCGCCGTGGAGGCCCCAACTACCAGGAGGGTCTCCGAGTGATGGGAGAAGTTGGTAGGTAACAGAGCTTCGTCAGCAAGAATGGACTGGTTCAGACCAGGTTAGACAGTTTTAGACGTAGACATAAGGTTTCAGGTGGTAGTGGATTTTCTTTTAATAAATAGTGTTATTAACATGTGAACACTGGCTAAGAATAACACCAACTTAGCCTAGGAGTACAAATAATAAAATAAAATAAAAAATTTAAAATAAGAAATGTGCCGTAAGACAGCAAAAAATACACATATAAATACAAATAAAGCTTAGATTAAAGTAAGCTACAAAATTGGGCCAAAAAAGCTAATTGTTTTCCAAATATACAAATAGTTGTAAGCTACAAGGTGTTGAAAGAGTTAAAAATGCACCTTTTTTACGGCATCGAATGCCACACTTTACTGACTCATCACTTCCATCTTTTCTAAGGTAAAACCACAGGGATCCCCATTCATGTGTTTGGCACAGAAACTCACATGACGGCCATTGTTGGCATGGCCCTGGGCCACAGGCCAATCCCCAACCAGCCTCCTGTTGCTGCCCACACCGCCAACTTCCTGCTCAACTCCAGCGGCGGCCAGTCGGTATGACACACTCAGGATCCACCCTGACAAATGGGCAGTTATGATGTTGACTCACTTCACTACAGACCTTATATTAGTCTGACCACTAGTAAATATTCTCCAACGACCGTCTCTCCATCAGTGGTCCCTGTTTGGTTCCTTTTACTGAACCAGATTATCTGAAGCTCAGTGGCTCCCTTGTGTGACAGCACTGCTGGGCATGACGGAATGCTTTCAGTCAAAGTGTTCGTGAGACTCAGTCGTCCGGTGTGACTGCCTCCAGGCAGCCGTTAGAAATGTGCAAGTCATGGGCTTTTAGCCTGGGCCGCAGCTCCATGTATGTGTGCAAGAGAAAAGTGACTGAGACCAGTACATTATACATATTATTACATGGTATGAAGTCATCAAAATGAAAAGTGGTTTAAACTACCAGGTAATGTTTGTGTTCCATCATCTGCAGACTCCAGCCTCCAGCAGAACGGCCTCTTTTTGTGAGAGTAAAACCAGGATCGAGGGCTCTCCGACCAAGAAGGCCAAGAGTGGAACTCCACAGGGTTAGCAAACACACACTGACCACGTACTCACACGAACGTCATGTCTGAGTACTCAGAGATGCTGACACGTTCAGGTTTTTAGACCGAAGTCGTGGACTGCGTGCTGTGATTTCTGGAGTTATTGCGCCCTCCTCGGGCAACAAATAGGCCTTACAAGCTGATGTGGAATAAATCAAAATACAGACCCACATGTACACGTTTTTCCTCATTAATAATTTCATAATGTGGAATTAGTCACGAACAAAAACAGGCGTGAACCTGCAGTTATTTGTCTTTTTGTTACAACAGAAAAAACAATTTTATTTCTGTATATTTAGGAATGTTGATTTGACAATATCACTATTAATTGAGATCACAGCTACTGCGCTAATAATCGTATGAAAACTTTTAATTTTAGTTTGACAGCTGTAATATATATATATATATATATATATATATATATATATATATATATTTCCTCTTCTTAGACTCTTCTTAGACAAGGTTTTTCTTCCCTGTGCAGCCAAGGCAACGACCCTCTTCAGCAAACACACCAAGTCCATCGTGTGGGGCATGCAGACTCGGGCGGTGCAGGGAATGTTAGACTTCGACTACGTCTGCTCCAGGGAGGAGCCGTCTGTGGCAGCTATGGTCTACCCATTCACGTAAGGCCGTCTCCGTGTCGTCCGTCTGATCTGTAACACCTTCGTATGCCGTCACCGACACTTTAAAATGGCTGCCTTTCAGGGGAGACCATAAACAAAAGTTCTACTGGGGCCATAAAGAGATCCTCATCCCTGTGTATAAGAACATGAGCGACGCGATGAAGAAGCACCCTGATGTGGACGTGCTTATCAGCTTCGCCTCGTTGCGTTCGGCCTTTGATAGCACCATGGAGACCATGCAGTATCCACAGGTAAACATCTTGGTTTGCCCCTTGAAAAGAACTTTTTAAAATCAATTTTTAAAAATCAAATCTCAATTCAACTTCCTCTAGATTCACACCATTGCCATTATCGCTGAAGGCATCCCTGAAGCTCACACTAGGAAGATCATCAAGGCAGCAGATGAGAAGGGGGTTACAATCATTGGACCGGCAACTGTTAGTCTTCCTTCTGTTTTACGACAGTATTGTTTACACTTATTCACGCTCTCTCCTCATGACAGTCATTTATTTGTATTTCTAGGTCGGTGGAATTAAGCCAGGTTGTTTCAAAATAGGTAACACAGGGGGAATGTTGGATAACATCCTGGCCTCCAAACTCTATCGACCAGGCAGCGTGGCATATGTGTCCCGCTCGGGTGGCATGTCCAATGAGCTCAACAACATCATCTCCCGTACCACCGATGGTGTTTTTGAGGGTGTGGCCATTGGCGGGGACAGGTGTGTAACTTTAACTGGTTAACTCATGCTAGTTAAATCTCTAGTAAACACAAAGAATAATATTATTGGTCTTAGTTCAGATGTTTGATATTTAGTTTTGTCCAAGCTGAAAATTGAAAAAAATATTTAAAATTGATTGAAAATAGGTGAAAATAAGTGTCTATCAATATGGTTAAAAAGCTTAATGTGTGTTGCAAAATTATCAGTACCTTTAAAAATTAAAATAACTACTTACTAAAGGCCACAATGCTGCTTTACTAAAGGGTACAAGGCTACTTTTACTAAAACCTAAAGATGACTATATATTGTCCTAGTAAAGGCTGAATGTAACAAAAGCTAGCTGGATATTAGCTGTTAAAAATTATAACTAAATGTAACCTCAATACAGCCCAATATTAGCAAGAGACATAACCATAACCAGAAAATGGCAACCAGAAAGGCAAACAAAACAAATTGAAACCTAGCAAGGAGATGGATATTAAATACTGGCTAACATTGAACTTTTCTAGTAAAACATTAAAATGAGTTAAGGAGCGCTAGCAAAAACTATCCTAACACTTTCTGTGTTAATGTTATGCTAACGTCCTGATGTTTTTTGTTTTTTTTAATGACTCTGTAGATACCCAGGATCTGTGTTTACTGACCATGTGCTGCGCTACCAGGATACTCCTGGAGTAAAAATGATTGTGGTACTAGGAGAGGTCAGTGATACATCCACACACTAACACTGCTACTGTACTGTAGCTAACAGAGTTAGCGTCTAACATGTCATGCGTCTACAGATTGGAGGCACAGAGGAATACAAGATCTGCCAAAACATAAAACAGGGCCGCATCACCAAGCCTGTGGTCTGCTGGTGTATTGGTACCTGCGCCACCATGTTCTCCTCAGAGGTGAGACCGCTGAGTCATTGCTTCTATATATATTAATTAATATTAGTTTTGGTGATATTTCATGTTGTCCCATGGCGCCTCCTCAGGTTCAGTTTGGTCACGCAGGTGCCTGTGCCAACCAGGCATCTGAGACAGCAGTGGCCAAGAACAAGGCTCTGAAAGAAGCCGGTGCCTTTGTCCCGAAGAGCTTCGATGAGCTGGGCGAGGTGATCAAGTATGTACAGAAGGTTTATTTATTTATTTTTATATTTACTTTTTTACCCTATTTTTATTTAGACATGTGTGTAATACTACCCTATTTTTATTTAGACATGTGTGTGTAATACAAAAAATACCATTGGGTCACCATGGTTACTGATAAATCTGTCAAGAAGCTGTGTATACTCAATGTTAGTAACGCTACACTGCCCCCGTGTGGTTAAATGCTAGAAGTTAAATGCTAGACTGGACAATTGCTATATCACAGACTGTACCATGCTGTGAATAAACTAACCTATGGAAGTCTGCTATAAAAACACAGTTTTATTGATAAAAAGGAACATATGAATAAAAGACTATTCTCTTAGATGAGTTCTTTGTCATCTGTGCAGGTCTGTCTACGATGACCTTGTGTCCAACGGCGTTATCCAGCCAGCCCAAGAGCTTCCTCCTCCAGCTGTGCCAATGGATTACTCCTGGGCCCGTGTGAGTACGCCAATGAGAGTCCTTTTATATATATATATAATAGGACATTTAGCAGGAAAGAGCTTTGCTATTATTTATTTAATCTGGATTCAATGGTGTTTTCTTCCCCTCTGCAGGAGCTGGGCCTTATCCGTAAACCAGCTTCCTTCATGACCAGCATATGTGACGAGAGAGGTCAGGAGCTCATCTACGCAGGCATGCCCATTACGGAGGTCTTCAAGTCAGAGATGGGCCTGGGGGGAACACTGGGTCTGTTGTGGTTCCAGAGGAGGTCAGTTGGTTCACCTCTGAGCCAGATTCCTTTAATAAACAAACTCAGGAAACCACATCATCGTTGTCACCAAGTCTTTCTCTCTGTTGTCTTCAGGTTGCCCAGGTACGCCTGCCAGTTCATAGAGATGTGCCTAATGGTGACTGCGGACCACGGCCCTGCTGTTTCTGGTGCACACAACACCATAGTGTGCGCACGAGCCGGCAAAGATCTCATTTCCAGTCTCACCTCGGGTCTCCTCACCATTGTGAGTCGACACTCGTTTCTGTGACGCATGTCAAGTCTTTACTAATCTGTAAAAATGGAGAAAGTGAATCAGCGGTCTTCTCTGTAGGGGGATCGTTTTGGAGGAGCTCTGGACGCTGCGGCAAAGCAGTTCAGCAAAGCGTTCGACAGTGGGATGCTGCCCATGGAGTTTGTCAACAAGATGAAGAAAGATGGAAAACTGATCATGGGCATCGGACACAGAGTCAAGTCGGTGAGGGTGGAAATGAAAGGATAACATCTGCAGAAGGTCGTCATGTTCCTGGAGAGTTGCTGTTTAACAGGCTGTGTTTTTGTGCGTGTGTGTGTGTTTCTTCAGATTAACAACCCAGACATGAGAGTCCAGATCCTGAAGGACTTTGTCAAGCAGCACTTCCCCTCCTCCAGCCTGCTGGACTATGCTCTGGACGTAGAGAAGATCACCACGTCTAAAGTAAGATGAAATACTTTGTCATGTAAAATACTACTCACTAACATGATATGTTTAGTGTTGACACGTCTCTGTTTCCTCCCCTGCGTGTTGTTGTGCATCAGAAACCCAACCTCATCTTGAATGTGGACGGCTTCATCGGCGTTGCCTTCGTGGACCTGCTCAGGACCTGTGGTGGTTTTACAAGGTGAGCGAGCGCAGAGGTGTCACACATGACCAAAAACTAAGGATCAAGTTGAGTAAAATGACAAAGTAATATAGTATTCACACAGTATCCCTTTTTTCCATGGAACTTTTTTTGATCGTTGTAAATATGTTTGAAGGTTTACGTGTGTCACAGGATTCTTTTCATAATTTCAAAGATGGATCTTTTAAAGTGTCGATCGGCCGAAGTCCCTAATACATTGTTCACAGAATGAAATCTTTCCGTGTGGTCCTGGAGTGTAGTGCTGACTGGTCTTTCCTTCTTGTCTTATTGTTCCACCACAGAGATGAAGCTGATGAGTTTGTGGAAATCGGAGCTCTGAATGGAATCTTTGTCCTGGGACGGAGCATGGGATTCATTGGTGAGTCAGTCCAACACACAGGAGACACAGTTGTTACTTTAAAAGGTTTTGTTTATCACACAAGAAATGTGAAAAAGCTTTTTAATTAAACAAAGTAGCAATACTTTGATTTTACTTATCAAAACATGAATGAAAAATAAATATCAATATATATATCAATCAAATAAAAGATAAAATATAAGAATAAATACATTCAAATAATATATATATATATATTTCCAATTAAATAAAGTGCAAATGACACTATTAGCTAACCTATGCAGTTGCAATCTGAAAGGTGGCGCTGGTGGGCCATGACCCTATGCTTGAGAATCACTGATCTAGACTTAATTATATTCCCATATGTCTTTGTTTTATCTTGTGTGTTTACATAATGTCATTGTCACTAATATTCAGGACACTATTTGGACCAGAAAAGACTGAAGCAGGGTCTCTACCGCCACCCGTGGGACGACATCTCCTACGTGCTCCCTGAACACATGTCTATGTAATCAAAAGGGATTCGTACTCACAGGTCCTGTCACGCACGCTGTAAATCTTTAGGCTCTCACTGTGATCCATCAGTTTGCAGCAGTGATGTAACATCAGTGTTGTAAATGTGAAGAGTAGTAGAATAGTAGAATGTAATAGACCTGTTGTTTTGTACTCCTCATACGTACTCCTCATCCCTGCTGTTCTGCGACTAACACAGAGCTGTGGAGTCAGAGTCGATCCTATTCTTCAATGTAGCGGTTTGACTGTCGTCAACTAAACCTTAATCCCATACAGTACGTTTCCACTGAACAGTACCAGCAATATTGGCTCTATTTCAACAGCATTCCCAAAACTTGACTGCGATACCGTGTTAACTCCTATATACTGTAATACTGGCTCAAAGACAGGGAGTGGTTTTAATGCAAACAAAAGTCCTGGTACCTGGTTTACCTCGTAGCTTCTTATCTCTGTGGTGGAAAAGTAGTTGCATGATACTACAGTACATCCAGCTATGGAAATGCCTTTGGCTTCCACACCGAAGTACTGTACAGTACATGCCCCCCCTCACCCCGTCAAAAAGTATAAATGATATGTATTATAGTAGCATGTACTGTACACCTGACTCTCAGACTGTTGTGTAACTGTGCTATACGTATCCACCACTGGCTTGTTACACCAAACTAATACGTAGTGCAATAATATAGAGTAGAGATTTATTTATGTATAGATGTTTTCACAGAAGCAACCGAAGAAGACAAAGATAAGATGCTGTTTTGGAGCTTAAGGTGGCAAATGGGACAATTTTTCATGGGTTTCAAATCATTTTTCTCAGCTGTTTTCTTGTCACGAAGATGTTTTTCCAATGCATCCATCCAGACGTACTTAGTCTTGTGTCAAGTTTGCAGTTCAGCTCATACCGATAATTCTTTGTTTTCCAGTCTGTTATTATAATTATAATTATTATTGTTATTATCATTTGCATATAATGCAATTAAACCAGTTGAATCGCAGGTCAGAGAAAGTGCAAGCCTGTAGGAATTTGACTCGCGTTCCCGAGCACGTTGTTAGCGGTCGCTTCCTCTTTATCACATAGAATGAAAGTGCCAGACCAGGCTCTCATTGGAATCTAACAAGATTATACACTAGGTAGGTCTTCAAGGTTTCCTGTGAATGTGCCACCACTGCAGAAAATCTTGTGAACAATCCAGAAATCATACCAGCGTCGTCACAATTGTTTCTCCTTAATGTGAAAAAGAAAAACGTGCCTCCATGATACTGTTTTTAAAAACTGTGTTGTTTGAGTCAAGTAGGTGTAATTGATGTGATAATAAAGGACAATTTAAAACATATTGGGTAAGGGGGTGTTGTACCAGTATAAATCTTTAAATGTGGCCATTTTTGACCTTGTTTTTTTAGGAGCATTTCAGATTATCACAAAGGCAATTTACTCGTTCTGGGAAACAACTAAGCTTTTGCATTTTGGCTATTGTAGCTTTTTTTCCAAGTTAAGAACATAATTATTTTTGCTAAGTGATCAATTTAAAAAAGTAAACGTAAAAAGTGCTAATAACTGAGCTAATTTTAGCTGTTGGATTGCTAACTTTATTTGATCCCAGTTAAGAAATGTCTTGGCTACACATTGAATAACATTTTTTGCTAATTTAAAAATTATTTTCCCTTTGGTCATTTTTCTGAAGTCTGGGCCCTGAACCCTTAGCAACCAGGAAGGGTTCAGTTGCTTGTAGCAGCTAGCTAATGTCTCCTTTGATGTAGTTAGTGTTTTTTTTTTTTTAATTTAATCAAAGGAAAAAGTTTTTGTTTTGTCACAGCTGTAATATTTTGGCACTGCTTTTTTGTTTCTTTAGTAACCATTCATTGGAAAGCTCTGGAAATGTTCACTTTTATTTTGGAAAATGTATTATATATTTTACAGGAGGATATAAACCCACACCCTTACAATATACATTGATATTTCATGAGCTCATGTCATAAAACAATGTGTTTCTAAATTAAACAATTTTAGCCTGTTAGCTAAATTGTCATGCATTATATCCACCAATCAACATTGTAATGTCGATGTGGTTTCTTCAAGCCTGTTTCAGTGAAATTAGTCACAGCAGTTAATCACCAATCCTTGGTTAGAATATTCAATCATCATCATCATCATCATCATCGTCAGTGCCTTTGATAATGTGATAGTAACATCTTACAAACAGTTTAAAAGAGCGTCTTGTCCAAAGATACAGTACCTTTGGCCAGACATGTCCAGTGTTCAGTTAGAAGTTAAGGGTGGTGCTGCGACAGACTGCATGTGGCCCACAACTTCTTTCTTAAAATCTTTATTTTATGGATCTCCATCAAGGTAGGGACTACATTTTCTTTTTGGAAAATAATAAATCAACTGTATTTTGGCCTATGTTCTGCTCCATCTGGTACTAGACAGACACGTCTCAGCCCCGTGCAACCACAGCTTGGAAATAGGGAACAAAAAGCTGGTCCTTTGGCAGCACTGACAAATCCAAAAAAGGTTGAAATTGTCTAATTTTGAGAGATTTTCTCATGATCCTGAAGTCAAATTATTTTAATTGTATGTTACTAACGATAGAACTATTTGAAACGAAGGAAAGTGCTGGCTGAAAGAAGAACAAATGTCTCATGTCCTAGAATGTGTTGAACTCCACCTATAACAAGTTTAATTGATTGTGTGCTGCTATTGTGGTATGTATGTATGATCAAACGAAATAAAAATCCGCTAAAAAGTAATGTATAATGAGGTTGTGCGGCCGAGGCATTCGGCCATTGTGTGGTAAACTCTCACCTACCTGAGCTAATTACAGTTTTTGTAGCATTAAGGTAAACCTGATTGAATATTTTACTTGACAATTTAATAACACAGTCAAAGGTGTTGCCTTACATGACAATGACCTAATATTTGACTTCCCTCTTGGGCGTGCCTGTGGGCAGATCACCTTGTACATGTATCTTAATCACATACCTGACTGGCACACCTAATCCCATAGCTGTGACACTTGTTATTAACTGTACCCATACTTTCTCTGCTATTACCTCACATTAATCAATTAGAATAAAATGACCCAACTTCAAACTCTTGGTAGTGGCTTGGTCATGCTGACCTAGAAAGTTCTGTAGACTATAATGAAGAAGAAAAAAACACAAAATGGTTATTATCGTTAATGATCCAGTTAGTAGGAATTAAAATGATAATGATTATTATTATCATCTGTGAATGTCACTTTGGAGGTGGGTATTAGACAATTGATTTACTGTTACCATGCATGCTGTAAAAAACAAACAAAACTGTATATACTGCTTATATTTCGTTATCCCTTTTGTCTTTGTTTATTAATATGCTCTATTAATCCATATACATCGTAGCAGTAATAGTGTAGCATGTTTGGTCTTTTTTTCACTCTCTCTGCCCACACTTAGGGTCATTGCTGAGACTGCGTATGTTATGAGTCGTGTACACCGAGCTGACAAACTGTTGATGATGGGAGTGTTGCTGTGTATATTGTATTGACCACAACCTATTGCTGTGGTGGTCGTATGCAACTGTTTGCAACTGAAACGCTACCAAAAGAACATATACGGCGTCACGTTCACTCTATCCCTCGAGATTTAAGATTTTAAACCTGCAGTAAAAAAAAGCAGAGCTTGGTGCTGACTTTGCTAAAGTGTTGACGTCACAGACAACCCGCACGCACTGCGCATGTCAGTGAGTTGCTCTGTTTACCAAGCAGAAGTTGGTTGCTTGTTCGTAGTTTCAAAAGACCGATTACAACAGTGTTTTGATGTTAAATGAAGCTTTTATTAAGTAGTATTGACCATTAGAAAGACATGTGTAATCGGTAGCTTATGTAAAAGTAAATTATATTTTGGCTTTTTCACTGAAATGTGCTTTATTTGGACGGACGTACATGTGTGACGTGTTCTCCTTTAAACGCCGCGGATGTAAAAGTTCCAATAAGAAACGCACTTCAGTGAGGGCTCTCTGTTTTGACTCCGTGGATGTGTGGCTGCGTATGTCGCCTCCTTCCCCTCACTAGTTTACTTCATTTCCCCTTTCTGCTTTCCTCCGACGCCGGCAGCGGAATGGCAGCGGCGGCCCCCAACCCGGAGGATTCAACCAGAAGCAGCAGCGGCGGCGGTGGAACCGGCACACCCAGCGCCCTAACAGGAGACGGGGACGCGGAAGAGGCCGAGGACTTCACGTCTTCGTCGCACTGCTCGGAGCTGTCTCGGCGGCAGAACGACCAGAGGAAGCAGGGCTTGTTCTGCGACGTGACACTGGCCTTCAGCAGCGGAGCAGCCAGCGGCAGCATCCAGACCTGCGAGTTTTCCGCCCATAGGTCTGTCCTGGCGGCGGCCACCGACTATTTCACGCCCCTGCTGGGTGGACAGTTTTCCGAGTCCTTGTCAGGAAGAGTAGAGATGAAGGAATGGAGCTCAGAGCAGGGGCCTGACCCGGAGACTGTGGAAAGTGTCATACAATACATGTACACCGGAGAAATACGTGTCAGCACCTGCAATGTGCACGAAGTTCTGGAGCTGGCAGACAGGTATGAGGCCTTTTATTGAATATTGATTTTATTGGTTGATTGTTGATATCTGGGTCGAGTTGGTTAGATAAGTATATGGCAATATATGACATTCACGATGCGCCAATATTGCTATTTTCTTAATTAAATCGCCCATTTTCACTTGTCAGTCCTATTAATATTTTAATTATGTTTGTGCTTGTGCAGTATCTAAGTAAATGCACACAACTACCCGAGTTTTAACGAGTAAAGCTTAGGAAGTAAGTCGGAAGCAGAATTGAAAAGGCTATTTCCGGCTACTTTTTTGTCGTATGTTATGGTGCCACTTTTCCATATTTTGTAAAATGACAGGAGTTCAGCTAACCCCAGCAGACTGTAGTCATCTGTTAGCTACTTGAATGCATTTTCGTTGCCATAAAACAAGAAATGTCCCAAATTTTTACGGACAACTCAACAAATAACATGTTTCATGTTGTATTTGAGACTGTAAACTTCAGGTAGGAAGTGAGCCTTTAGGGAGTGGTCCTATTATCACTTTGGAGATGTAGCAATAGCATCAGAATCAGCTTTCCTGAACAAGCCTTGAAGCAAGTCTTAAACAGTTTGACCATGGGTATTTATTAACTCTATTTCAGTTACTACGTGCAAACAACATACACAGCAAAACAAGGACTGCACAGGGAAAAAGTCCAGGTCATCTAATCTTAACCCTACTCTTTTAGATAATGCTTTATTCTTCTCAGCTTGTTGCTGCTTAGACCACACTTCAAAAACAGACAATTTAAGGCAGTGTTATTTTGATCAGATTTATTAGGCAAACACACAGCACAATGTAACTGTTATTTGTCATGCATATAATATTATAAAATGCCATGGTTATTAGGTGTGGTTCTTTGTTGAATATATTGTTCAATGTGCATGTGTAACGTCTAAGATTACAACGAGACCAAGCATGCAGATCACAAGTGGCAGAAGCATGAAATGTGTGAACGAATGATATTGTTATCCTAAATAATAACCACCAAACAATGTGAAAACAAAACAGTTGGGTTGTGTAAATGTAATAATGCTGCAGATCCTAGGAAGTTAACTCTTTGTATTCGCACACCGCAGCTAACATGAAGAGCAGTAACACAGGGTATTGTGTTAACAGTAACCAATTATGTATATTTACAAATGTATAATTTAAATTTAAAGCTAAAATTGATATGCTCATCTGTAGAACAGTCCAGAATTAAGGTTTTAGTCCCAGGTAATCTGTATCAGCCACCTTTTCAACAGGTTGCTGTAATACTTACTGATGGAGGCAAATGATGTGGCATGAAGAACATTGAAATTAACTGCTGAAATGAAAATGTTTTCCTTTATTATAGGTTCCTACTGGTGCAGCTGAAGGATTTCTGTGGCGAGTTCCTAAAGAAGAAGCTGAGTTTGACCAACTGCGTCGCTGTGCACAGTCTGGCCCACATGTACACCCTGGACCAACTGGCGCTACGGGCTGCAGACATGATCCGACGCAACTTCCACAAGGTTATTCAGGATGAGGAGTTCTACACGCTGCCGTTTCACCTGGTTCGTGACTGGCTGTCCGATGCAGAAATCACAGTGGACTCCGAGGAGGTTCTGTTCGAGGCAGTTGTCAAGTGGGTACAGAAGAACTCGGATGATCGAGGTCGCTACTTTGAGGAGCTTTTCCGTCTCCTGAGGTTGCCCCAAATTAAGCCCACCTACCTGACTAGGGTGGTGAAAAATGAGCGATTAGTAGCTGCCAACGAAGCCTGTCTTCGGCTGGTGTCGGAAGCTGTGGAAGGCCACGCAATCCGTTTTGAAAATCTCAAATCTGCCGATATGGAGCTCTGGTCTTCCCACATGGCTTCCTTTCAGCCACGTTTTGGCCAGAACATGGACGTGATCATGGTAGTCGGAGGAGTGTCCGAAGGGGGGGACTACCTGAGTGAATGTGTTGGCTACTTTATTTATGAGGACCGCTGGGTCAACCTACCACATATCCACAACCACCTGGATGGACATGCTATTGCTGCCACAGAGTCCCATGTCTACGTAGCTGGTTCTATGGAACCAGGCTTTGCTAAGACTGTGGAACGTTACAATCCCAACCGCAACACCTGGGAGCAGGTGAGTAACTTGACGACACGAAAGCATTCCTTTGGCTTGACCTGCATCAAGGACATCCTATACAGCATTGGTGGACATGGAAACTTCAGTCCAGGTTTCAAAGACGTCAGTGTGTATGAGCCTGAGCAAGACAAGTGGCACAACTTGGAGTCGGCACCCAAAATCCTGCGGGATGTGAAGGCGGTTAGTGTGGAGGATCGCTACGTGTACATCACAGCACGCACGCCTGTGGATACAGACAATGAAGACGGACTGAAAACAGTGACCACTCGTTATGATACAGAGAGCCGCCAGTGGCAAGATGTAGATTCCCTCCCTCTTATCGACAACTACTGCATCTTCCAGATGGCTGTGGCTTCCACCAACTTCTACCACACAGCCTCCTGCTGCCCCAAGAGCTACACGGTGCGGGACGAGGTCGCCAGGCCCAAGATCAGCCTGCGCATCTCTGACGAGATCCTGGAGAGCCTGCCTCCAGAGGTCACCAGCATTGAAGGCGCCGCCATTTGCCACTTTGATGAAGATGTCTTCATCATCGGAGGCTGGAAGAACAGCGACGACGTGGATAAGCAATACCGTAAGGAGGCTTATCGCTACTGTGCTGAAAGAAAGCGCTGGATGCTACTGCCACCCATGCCTCAGCCTCGCTGCCGAGCCACTGCTTGCCACGTTCGCATTCCATACCGTTTCCTGTATGGCTGCCAGCGGTACCCCATGCCGCAGAATTTGGCTCGTCAGCGAGACCGCATGCAACAGATGCAGCAGCTTCACCGACGCACCCTGACGCTGCGCCGACAGCTCCAGTCACAGATAGAGTGTTAGGTTGATGTCGACTTTAGCTCAGTATACTCACAGTTGTCTCTGGCCATTCATAAAAAAATATAATTCAAATTCCTTGCAGGTCGAGTCACCTACATTCTCACCCAGAACTCTGTGCCATCTGGTCAAATATTGTGTTGTGAAAAAGCCATTGAATATTTGAACATAGTTGAGCTTGTGAAACAGGCTGGAAGTGTTTAAAACATATACAGGTTCACTGATAAATTGACATACTACATGTCATCCGGTTTATTCCTCTCAACACATTTCTCAAAGTATTATGGTGTTAAATGATAGTTTTTAAAGAGAACATGATGGAATTGTTATGAATTGCAAGATAATTTAAATGATAAAGTATGGGCAGGCACTACATGCAGTCTACAGCTAGACTATAGGAGACTAGTTGGACACGTTAAACGTGTCCATTCAGATGCGCTTTATTTTGGCCCTCCATTTGTTTTTTGTTTTTTTTTTGCAGTTATATTGAAAAAAATACTTGAAACTAACAACTAGCACCGTTTACCTGTCAGGATAATATTTGTTGGTATTATCAACAAACCATTTGATTACTTTTGAAATCCAGTTGAGATTCTTCCAGGCTTTTTCCTAGGCTTTACTATGCAACCAGAGTGGAAAACACGTGGCTACGTCCCTTCCTTACCCGTGTCTCTGAAATCAACAGGTGTGTAGCAATGTGAGTTGGCACACGGCAGATGTAAAAAACATGTGAATAAGAGTGTAAAAAAAAAAAACCCCAAAACAAACGACCTAATATTCCTTTGTCAAATATGTTGGTGTAGATGCTGTTAAATATTCTAAAGCTGCATATGTACCTATAAATGTAAATTGATATTCTACATTCCTTATTTGCTCCATGTGACGTAAATAACCACATTCCTGCATTGTTTCCAAATTACTTGATCGGATCTCATTCCACTGTAACACTGTGACAATCTCTTCGTGCATCAAACAGTCTTACTTGTCCGTCGGTGTTCTGTTAGAACGACGGTTCTTGCTGCTGTGGTTCAACAACTCAGCCGGAATTCATTTGGAGAAGCGCGTTTCATGTAATAGTTTGCATTTAGGTTGTAGTCTCTCTTCTGGTTCAACAGCAGTACCGAAAACAGTTGTCATTTATGTTGCTCATGTGAGTAGTAATGTTTTTTCCCCATGGTTTAATAAAGGAAGAGTAAGCTATAATGTTCCAAAAACCTTAAAAAGATAAAATAATTATTTTGAGATTTCCTGATGCAGAATCCGTCGATTTAGGCTCTGCATCGATCGCTATACATTACCAGTGGCTTAAACATTCCTTTCTGTTGCACTTTTCGCCGGTTTGACTATAATTCCATTAATTAAAAAAAATGATAGATTATAAATATGAATATGTGGAAAGTTTGTGTGTGTGTTTGTCGAGGGTTCAATTGTTGCCCTGTAAAGAATGGTCTCCCTAATGGCACTTTTTGTTTTAATATCTTACAGAAGCGTTGGGGTTGAAAAAGCACTTTGACTTTGCTCGTTTAGTTTGCTTCATATCAGACGAGGTGATTGTACTTTAACATTTTCCAGGCGCCTCGATGTTATGTTTTGGTCTCTGAAAGAAAAAAGGAAAGGCTATTATTATTATTATTATTTTTGCTAAATGTGTTCTCGTATGTCAGAGTCTTTTGTTGAAGGACTTTGATGCCAGCTGGGTGTATCTTAAGGAATGACAATGTTCTTTTCTGTCATCTCTGTCCTCCACCCACCACCCCACCCTATTTCCAAAGGATAATCAAAACTAATAATTATGTCCACATGATGTCCAAAGCAAACAGCACTAACGACAAAGTGATGCAAGCTAAGTCATTTAATTTGCATGTGATAGTTTGACGATGTGGCAGTAATATTGGATGTAACAAATGCTGATGTCATCACTTGCAATTAAAGTTGTTTTGTAAAACAGATGCTTGTAGTCATAGGTTTTCTTAGATGCTTTTACCGGCAGTTCTGTAGCACCTCCTTTTGGTAGCTAAAACTATTGTCATTACTTCCCACACGGACATAAATTACAATCACAGCTATTGTTTACAAACTCAACTGAACTTAAAAAATGTATTTATTCGAAATGGGAAAAAATTTTTACAAACTCAACTGAACTTAAAAAATATATTTATTCGAAATGGGAAAAAAGTGTTTTGTTTTGGTGGGGTTTTTTTTTTCTGTTCTCAATTTATTTAGTTTATATTTCAAAAGTCAATCGTGGCACACTGACATGTGTCAATTAAGATTGAATTAACTGCACCTGGTTTTGCAGGAATCACGATGGCACTGTACTTCCAATGGACACGAATGTCATGTCACTGCCGCAGGATTTTTGGATTTTTCTTCTCTACTGTTGTTTTTTTTTAAATGACATTTCATGGATATGTTATGTTTTTTGATCAATGCCCAAAGTATATGCTTGATATCAGATTCTGGTTGAAGGGACCTGACGTGACCAGAAGAATTGAGGTATTTATAGGTTTTCATCGTTTTTCTATTACAAATTACTACTTTCTTCTGACCAAATGTTGAATAACGTGCAGTTATTTATTTATTTTTTTTAAGAAGGATGCTGGCATCATTGAAACATGGAAGGTAGAACTGACTCCATATGAAGAGCACAATACAGTAAGTAAGTTGTCCTTTTTTGACCAATACCATACCTTTAAAACTGACTGGGATTTTTTAATGCCTTTTAAGGTGTGCATTGAGACTTTTTACTTTTTTGCATTTTTGCATAAAAATAAAAAGTCCACAAAAT